TATCACGTCTCGAGAAGGTAAGTAAATATTCCAGCACACTCTTACCTACTGGAGCTTTGCCTAAACCGAGAAATAGTGATGATTTGGATTCAGCTGCAGGTACGGTTACATGTAAACATGTTGATACAAATAAAGTCAACTTACAATATTAACATCGTTTTATTGTAGTGACACAAACGCTCTTGTAAATTGCGGTTTATTTACTTTTACGAGTTTTACTCAAGGGGTTTACTTCTTCATTAGATATATTAAATGTATCAACAAGAGTTGCACGTTTACTGTTAGACTTTCTTTCCAGGGTAGACCATTTGAATATATATATAGCAGTCATTATTTGAAATTTATGATACTGAATAAAATGCGTAACTACGTTCTGGTCAGTTTAAGCTTAATTGTCAATTTCAGTTGGTTTCGCGTTTCCTAACATTGTTTTTATACCTCTCCCAAAACGATCCATGCATATGCATTCGCAAAATTATCTTGCTCAACTCTTCATCGTGATTGCTTTCATTTGACATTGGATAATAGTATTTAAAACGCAATAGTAATAGCTGCGTTGTGAATGCAAGAATCCTGTAGATAATTGGATTCTACTGTAAAAGCATTTACTTTTCTTTGATAAGGTTATCCCAATTGAAGACCATAAATTAAAATATCAAGGGAAGTGTCAAATGTGCATGTCAGAATGTGTGCTCATAATAACCGTATCGGATTAAAGGTCAAGTCATTATTATGCAATTTAATATTTTTGCTTGCAAACGTCAAGTAGCAGCAGAATGTTTACTATGACATGAGCGCCGCGGTAACGCTATTTGGTTTCCTATTGGTAATAGGTACTATAATGGTAATCTAATCTTATCGTTATCTCATGATCAAGTCGACTCTAGTTACTTTCCCGTGATCAAGGTGGCGACTGTGCTATGAACGAGCCCTCCGATCAGATTTCACGTCGCAGCACTCATTAACAACCATGGGTAATAACATATCAAGCACGACAGCATCAATAGCAACGGCAGGAATCACCAGCTACGTCAGTGAATTGGGCGATATTCAGTATGGTGAAAGGTAACGGTATTCCCGTCCTGTCGAATTCCGTAGCTAACGAAATAAACTCATGTGTTGTTAAATTGGGGTCCCTCAAATGTAATAGTCTAAGCAGTGCGCGGTTCATGAAAACTATTCGCGGTCGACATAAAGATGGCGCTGTTGTTGTAAAAATATTTATTAAACCTGAACCGGGAATATCATTAGCTAATATTGTAAGAGCGCTTGAAGGTGGGAATGTGGGAAATGGGACCATTTGTGAGAGGATTGAGAGAGTGAATGCGTGTTTGGCATTGGGCGATTTAAAGTGCTTGGATTCTAGAGTTGTTCATTGTCGTTATGCTAATTCTTTCAACACTGTTCTCACGTCGGACCAGAGGAGCGAGAGGCTCTTTTGGAAGTTCCCAATGCCTTCCCGTATCAGCGAATCATAGAGACAGAGAAGGCTGGATATTTAATACGGCAATATTTTTTTAGTAGTTTGTATGATAGAATAAGGTGTGTGTAATGTGGTAATTTCTAATGCTTGAGTATTTTAGATGTGAATTGTATATTTTGGTATTTAAGAAACGCTCGTGTTATTCAAACAACTGTTATGATATTTGTCTGTAGTACTCGTCCTTTTCTGAATCTCACAGAGAAAAAATGGATAACATATCAATTGCTATGTGGAGTGCATGATGCGCATATGCATGGAGTAAGATGAAAGATCAAGTTAGTCCGTCAATATCGTTTATTGCTCCATGACAACCTTAACACGTATAATCAATTTACTTTAGATATATCACGGAGATATTAAAACCGAAAATGTCTTGGTAACGTCTTGGAATTGGGTTTACCTTGCCGATTTCTCGGGATCCATTAAACCAACTTATTTGCCGGAAGTATGTCGTTTACGATCATGTTTGCTGACGCTACCGATTGGCTTAGAATGTCACTTGTATTTTTGTCTTCATGGCTTTAATACGTACCAACCACGTCTATTTAAACTAGGATAATCCTGCAGATTTCTCCTTCTTCTTTGACAACTCATCGAGAAGAACGTGTTATCTAGCTCCTGAAAGGTTTTATAAACCGGGCATTGGCGTAGACAAAATTAAGGTATTATCGGTTAAATGTCGAAAATACACGCATGCTTAAGATATCAATCATCTTTTTACCTCTCCAAATTGTAGTGTGAACCTGAAGTTGGCGGGAAAGAGGGCTCAATTACTTCAGCTATGGATATATTCTCTCTTGGGTATCTGACAATCTATTTGATTTGCACATCTCAAGTCAATATTTCGGATTATGCTAACTTTGTCACTCATTAACATTAGCTGCGTGATAGCTGAGCTCTTTTTAGAAGGTACACCAATATTCTCTTTGTCACAATTATTTAAATATCGTACCGGTGAATATGATCCTGGGGTATATCTTGATAAAATAGAGGATCCGGATATTAAAGTAAGCTAATTTTCGTGATGAATTGCATATGTCAAGTCAAGTATTGATATAGTCTTGATTCACATTACAGGCTATGGTGAAACATATGATAAACATTGACCCAACTAAACGATTTACTGCTGAACAATATCTTCACGAATGGTAGGTCTGGAAGGATGACAAATTTTTCTCATATGTATTATTATTAAGCGTGTTTAAAGCTTGAACTCATATTCTGTACACATCGAACTTTTGTTATTAGGCGCGGCACTGCGTTTCCAATATATTTCAGTACATTTCTCCATCAATATGTTGCTTCAGTTACTGATCATCATAATAGATCTCACGACATAGGAGTTACTCTCCCAACAAACGCTCCTCGCACGCGAGAATCTTCCGAAGTACAAAATACTATCATTAATACTGATGCGGATGACAAGATTGAAAGGATATACAATGAATTTGATAAGATTGCATTTTTCCTTGGATTTTTTAATGGCAACGGAGCTGAAGAGGACGATGGAAGTATGGAGGAAGATATTAAAGGGAGGAATGGGAAAGTTGGGGAGAGGTCAAAAAAATTAGCACCTGGTAAGACTGCGATTGTAATATTACAGCTGGATTAATTATGGAGCAATGTTCGGTAGATTAACATCTCTAATAATTACGCACTTATTTATTTTCATAATTAGAATCATCCGTGTTGTTAAATAATGCGGTAAGCTTATGACTGTCGTTAGTTAACAACGTAAGTGTCATAATGTGATATATATTTACGTACTTTAATCTGATACATAGACTGCTCTATCAGTTCACCTCAATATTCCCAACTATGACACATCATTAGTTTCGTCTCGTAAAAAGACCAAAGAAAAAGCAGGTAATGCCTGATATAATATTATGGGAGCAACTTTGTTAACAGTTTTAATTCTACTTTTAACACTCTATTAACTTCATATTATCTTGCCTTGAAGATGATGGTGCTCTTATATTCCTGTCATTAATATGTGCCAAGATAAGAAACACTGCATATCCATCATCAAGGCTACACGCACTGGATATGCTACTGGCTATTGGACAGCATTTGGAGGACGAATTCAAATTAGATAGACTTCTTCCTTATTTAATTGCTCTTCTTGGAGATGAAGTTGGATTAGTTAGAGCGAATACTCTCAAGACATTGACTAATTTGGCAAGTATTGGCAATGCTAGAATATGCATTTGTTCGTGTCATCTGTAAAATATTTATTCATTTGCTTTTTGCCAACTACTGACTCGCTTTGTCATTACATCGTCCGATTTACATATTGACAGCTACTAATGGTGGAGAGAATAACGCCGCATAATGCCACAATATTTCCAGAATATATTCTCCCAAACGTTGTGAAATTTGCGTCGGACCCTGAGGTCGTTGTAAGAGTAACGTACGCTCAGTGCATAGCTTCAATTGCGGACAGTGCTCTGAGATTTTTGGAGATGACACAGGTTAGCATTATTAAATATTCATCGAATTTATGGAATCGAATTTGAATTTAGTTGACAAACTTGTTAAATTCAGGCATTCAAATCGGATGGCTCATTAACAATATCGGGTCGTACTACAGATTATGGTGCATTTGAGGTATGCTAGTACATTAAATAACGGGTTAATCTTACAACTATGACAGTTACTAATACTTTATTACTACTACTCTCAAGGGAACGTACGACTCTAATTTGCATGACCTGCAATCCGTCATCCAAGAGCAAGTCACAATACTGCTTATTGACCCTGAGAGTGCTGTCAAGAGAGCTCTACTAGCAAATATAACCAGCCTATGTATATTTTTTGGACGACAAAAAGCGAATGACGTGTTATTGAGCCATATGATTACGTATTTGAACGATAGAGATTGGATGTTAAGATGGTAAATGTTATTTTATTAAAATTGCCACATTTGTTATTGCTTGAGGAGTATAAGCACCATTTAATATGAGACATAGGCATACAATACTGATATTACAAGACCATTTTCTAACCTCATCTCATTTCATACATCAGTACATTTTTTGAGAGTATAATTGGAGTAGGAACATTCGTCGGCGGTCGTAGTTTGGAGGAATATATTCTTCCGTTAATGATCCAAGCTCTCACTGGTAAGCAAATAAACAAGGATTGTGATCGGTATTAACCACGCCTCCTAACTTTTTAATACAATTCTTTCAAAGATGCCGAGGAATTTGTTGTTGAGAAAGTATTGAATTCGCTCACGAGTCTGGCCGAATTGGGCCTATTTCACAAAATGAAATTGTGGGAATTAGTTGGAATCATATCATCATTACTCTGTCACCCAAGTATTTGGATTAGATATGGTAAGAAATTAACATGTTTTTATTAAACAGGCGATATTCAAAACTCATATTTGCGTATTCTATTAAATAGGGGCAATCGCATTTATATCATCTGCTGCTAAGCTTCTACCTACCACTGACGTCTGGTGCATTGTATACCCTATAATAAGGCCGTTTTTACAAGCTGATATCGCAGAAGTAACGGAATTACAATTATTGGAGAACGTCAAGGAACCGGTAACGCAACACAATTCTTGCCTGATAGCATATTCACGAAGTCTCATTTATCAGACAAGACTAAATACAATTTTTATGACTAGCTCTCCAGGGCTGTGTTCGGAGCTGCTTTGACATGGGCAAGCAAGGCAAACAAGTCGTTATTTTGGAAACAATCAAAAGAGCGTAAAGTTTCCAAATCGAACTTGTCCAACTCTGCCAGCAGTATAACAGCTATAACAATGCTTGCTCGTCGGACTTCAACACTCGCTATTAACAATGAGAAAATTGCAAAATCGGAAGAGTGAGTGAAAAATTTTTTTTTTCCAAAATGCTCGAAGAGTAGTTTGTACCATTACATTGCGGTTATAAATCCATGTGGACATTTTTATGTTTATAGAGATGAGCATTATTTGAAGAAGCTAAGGAATATTGGAATGACAGATGAAGATGAAGAAAAGCTGGCTGCAATGAGAGACTATATTTACAAACTTTCGGTATCAAAGAGGTAAACTTGTAACTACCAAGTAAGATCGTAATCGTATATTGAACTGTTGTTACTAATTTGTATGCTTTCACTGCTCCTTCCAACTGGCGTTAGTGCAAGGCCAAAAACGCAAAACGAGGATGTCGTAAATATTGAGGTAATATCTATGTTCCAGTATCAAATTGTTTGCGTCTCGTTTCTAATTATGACATTTGAATATTACAGCAAGATGGCTCAGTCAAGCTAAAGAATATCGGAATTACAATTCACAATGTCTTCCTGAGACCCGCAAATTTGGATAACATGACGAATGGGGCGACTGACAGAGTAAGCAACATTGTATGGTTGTGTTGTTATTATCACAGTTTTCAGATGATAATTAATTATATATGATATTTTCAACATTTGGTAGGCTATACCTACAAGGTATTTTACAAATGTTTCCGTGTAGTTCAATTACAATCCTTACCGTCCTTACCACAATGATTCATTCTCTTTGTTCTCAGTCCATACCGTATACCAAGCGCCGCAAACAGTAAAACTTCACTTACGGAAACAACAGCGCAGTATAAACCTGTTTCATTATCTTATAATCCGCGAGGCGGGAGTGACGTGACTGCCACGAATTTCGCCAACAGCCGCAATCGTCGCATTTCAATGGGCCAAGTAGAAGGCAAATCAAACACGTCAGCACGAGATGGTCACAATAATAATTCCTCTACGCCTCTCGTGTCTGTTCCTGTCTTGTCTACTGTACCACCTTCTCCGCCTGAGAGAAACAAGACCGGAACAGCTGCTATTGACATCAATATTCGGAGAAATAGTTCTACAAGCAGCCTGGCAAAACGTATGTCGTTGGTTGGCAGAGCAGCCGAGAGCCCTAAAGCAGCCCCTGCGACCAGTACTAGCATGACTACTGTGGAGGGCACCATGGAGATTCCCGTTATTAAAAAAGTGGAGCAGGAGGCAACCCCTGTAAATAATGCAAACATTGGCGGTGTTGATGTTCTGCCTAGAAGGAATCTTAGTACCCTTGTGTCTAGTACTTATGGTAACGTAGAGCATATATGTATGGTGACAGCAAGCAACAGTATTGAACAATAATTGATTATTATTTTTTTTTCTGTATTTGCTTACAGAGGGAAATGATAGAAATGTAAAAAATCTATTGGATAGCAGATATCTGAAGACATTTCCCAATCCCATGCCAGGTCAGTATGATATAGTGCGTCTTTTGTAATGATACTTTGTGGTTACTGTTGCCAACTGTTATTTTATAATGTATAGAGTTTGGTCCTAGGATAACAAAATCTCCCACAAATCGTCATGGACGCGCCAATGTATCAAAGACGGTTACCGACTTTCGTCCAGAAGGTATGCCTAGATGAAGAAAGTACTCTGAAATGAATATGCTATATATGCTTATTGTAAAACGTACTACCATCTGCCTTTTAATTACAGGAACGCTGATAGCTCATCTAACAGAACATAAAGCAGCCATAAACAAGATTTGTGTATCGCCAGATCATAAATTCTTTGCATCGTGTTCTGACGACGGAACTGTTCGCATATGGGACTGTGCTCGATTAGAAAAGAACGTGACAAATAGGTCAAGAGCGACTTATGTTCTCGGTATGTGCTTTGAAAGAAAAATATCAGTTATTTTATTCTACAATACCATGATAATTTATATACTGATGACTTGTAGGCGGAAAGGTTAAATGCATGACATTCATTGATAGTACTCATAGCATCGCTTGTGCGTCTGATAATGGAAACATCCACGTATTCCGCGTTGAATATACGCCAGGCAATAATTCTGCCAAGTATGGGAAACTTCAGATTGTGCGAGAAAAGTATCTCAAAGACGAATATGCAATTTCCATGGAGCATTATAATACAGGTACGTATATAAATAATAGAAAACAGGGGATAGGTATTCTGTTGTCGTTTACTAATATTAATTCGTAAAATAGGCACAGAGTCCATTTTAATGTACGCTACCACAAAGGGTACTATCTGCGGTCTGGACCTGCGCTCAATGCAACTGTCTTGGTCTGTCGAAAATCCGCGCAGTCATGGTGTTATTACGGCTATGGTGACCGACCGCGCTCACAACTGGCTGCTTGTTGGTTCATCTCGTGGTATTCTCACCCTCTGGGATCTGCGTTTTCGTATTGCGCTTCGATCATGGATGCATCCGACCAAGAGTAAAATAAGCAAATTGTTATTGTGTGCTCATAGTAAGGAACCGCGTGTGATTATTGCTGCTGGCAAACATGAAGTGTCTTTGTGGGACATTGAGAAAGTAGAATGTAGGCAAATGTTTGCAGTCAGAAGTGGAGACGAGAAGATGGGCGGTGTGAGTTTGGATACTTTTAAGGTACGTTTGAAGGCAGATTATAAAAGCACAAATGTCAGTCATTGTTCATAAATCAATTTTTTTTTCCGATAAATTTTCTTAACAAGAATTTATTTTTATTAAAATAGCCTATAGATCCTCCTGGTCCAGGCGATATATTAATGAGTGCCTTTACTGCGCAAGAGAGCAGTTACGCGGTTGATAATTCAATTAGAGCGGTTTTATATATGCCTGAAGCTGGATGCTCGTACATGTTAACGGCAGGATCTGATCGTAAAATTCGCTTCTGGGACATTGCAACACCCGAAAACTCTTATATCGTCACTGGACAAGACGCAGATGAAGCCAAGCCTACGTACAGGTAAAACAAGGAATACGAATAATTAAGAGTGATGGGACGATATAATAGAATTATGAACTATAGAATAGTATTAATGCTAGTGACATTGGGTTTACTAGAGTTGTGATGACCACAAATTTTGCAAGTCAACTTACATAACATTTCCTTTTCACAGCACTAAACCGGTTAATGGATTAATTGTACACTATGAATCCTCTCCTCACCACTCACGAGCAATTGGCTCTTCTGCAAATTCGGCCGTTGGCAGGGATGGAAGTTCATCAAATAATAGACGATCGTCTTCTAAAAGTAGTGCCAATGCGCGCAATAGTATCATAATACTCCAGCAGCAAAGCTTATTAAGAAATCATTTAGATTGTATTACGGATATTGCCATTACAGAGATACCTTATCCAATGCTGATTAGTGGAGATCGGGAGGGAATCATAAAAGTATTTGCGTGAAATAGAATACGTAGTCGTTACTTTTGTTTAATTGTGTTTAATCGTGTTTAATAATATTTTCCTTTGAAGTACTGTAGATTAAAAAAAAATAATTTGTTTTAAATATCAAAATTCATATTATACACATCCACGATTGAATACTGAGTAAAGAGTAGGCAAACTTAAACGCAATTCGGAATAACAATGTCTGTTATGATCGTCTTTGACTGTCGTGATATATTTAATGCAAGCAAACATCACATGACGCGCTGCAGTATTGGCTAGACATGTCAAAAATGAGAACACAAGTTTTGAGGTTACCATTGTGGGAGATTAGACGTACGCAATGATAATTATGATATGATAGAACTCCAGAACTGCAAAGCACACCTCTACATACCCATCTTCTTACCCATTCTCTCCATCATCATCCGCTTCAGAAAAGAGAGATTTACTCTGCCAGCTCCCTAAACGGATTTACGAGCATGAATGACAACCTAAAATGATCGAGAATGACAATAAAACGAGACAGGAGATGACTTCATCCACACTCTCCAACATCAATCAAACCCGACAATCTCGCCAACCACGCAAATGGCAATTATGTTCATCTAGAAAAATATTCGAGCTTGTGTCCGGAAAATTAAAACCGAATTAATGACGCACGCGATTAGTCTGAATATTGTTATCTTCTTTTTTTCGCATTCTCAAAGTGTCAGCTTGCGCTTACCATACCACTAATCAGTGACTGGCCAAAACACTTTTTTTTTTTTTGCGAACAGGAAAAGTTTTATTTTACTACACTCTCAAATGAGCTCCGGTTGGAAATTGATGTAGTGATTCAAATTAGGTAATTAAACATGCATTTGAATCACAAAAACGCAGGCTATTTTCGCGATTAAAAAAATTTATTCAAAACAATTTGTTTTTATTCAAAAATGGTCAAAACGCAAGAACTGTCAGTTATTAACGCGCAGAGATTATTGGAGCTTACAAATGTGATGCGGAGATTAGTAGAAAGCTAGGAATCCCGGATATGACAGTCCGAAACGTTATCAATAATAATAATGAAAATACAGTTGAGAGTAAACAAAGAAGTGGAAGCACCAGTATACTTTCGGAAAGAGACGTTCGTTCGCCGGTGCGTGTAACCAAGAAAAACAGAAGAGCAACAGTTGCCACAATTTACAGCGGAGTTAAATCACGCTTTGCCGAAGCAGGTAAGTGAAAGTATGCTCGTGTAGGCAAACGAAAGCCTCTGATTACAGAGCGCGACAGAAAAAAACGTCTCTTCTTTGCAAGATTTGCAAAAGCCTGGTCATACGAGTGGAATGAAATGATATTTAGTGATGAGTCACGTTTTGTTTTATTCTCAAATAACTCTCATAAATGGGTGTGGCGACAAGCTCATGAAAAGTATGATGTAAGTTGCTTAGTTCCAAAAGTCGCTCATTCTCCTAGTGTAACTATTATATTATACTTTCATAACAATTATTCGAAAACAAGGATAATAAAATCACTCATGTTAGTTAAAAAAGTCATTAGGTATTCGCAACAAAACATACATACTGGAACCACTACGTTACTCTGACGGGAAAACTCGCTCCGTTTTGATACAACACTGTTACCTCTCGTTCTTAGCGAATGTACATACGTGTTTGCTCACCAAATTACAACGTCCGTTGTAAAGCTTTGTCAAAAGTGCTTTATTATCGTGACTGAAAGCATTATAGTAAAACCAGCTTCCGTATCACTACGTTATTAATATTAAGCCCTTCTTCACGATAATTACCTTAGAGCCAAATTGATTATCCTTTTATTCGAACACAATAATTGAAAGCATCGGCTGAAATTTGCATAACAGTTCAACAAAACTATTTTAAAATAAAGCACAACGATCAAAACTTTTCAACCACCTCACGTTGTTATATAGGTATAATAAGAGACGCCGTCGCAAAGTTTCGTTGGATGTGCAATGTAACACAAGCATTGAGATCATTTTATTTGTGCACTAAAAATTTTTCTAATTCAAACTGTTACCATGTCGTTAGTATCAGAGACTCTCAATAATCCTGCCATTCCTTGGAAAGCGAAAATAAAGACTTAAGACTTGAATGGATACCTTACGAGAAAATCACTAACGTAAAGCCAACTCGAATTGACAACGTTTACTACGCTATTCGCAAACATTATGGTTATGAGTATGAAATTATGTTGCTGTTACTTGGAAGTAGTGAAGAATGCACACCAACACTTGTGAGTGAGTTTGCCAGAATATACTCACTTCCAACACACAAGTACAATAACAAGGATAATAACTTTAGACGATGTTCCAAATGGCTTACGAATCGCAGCAAACTCATAAAGGGTTTTACCAACTACAATAACAACTATTACATGGCATGGTTGCTGTTACGGTCGGCGTCCACAGTAGGGTTGGGAGAGCAATTAATTGCGTAGGTGTGTTCTGCCGAGAGGGGGTTTTTCACAATTTAGCTCTTGTCGCTG